CTGTGCTGCAATCCTGAAGGCATGCAGTTCGAGGCCACCAGCTGTTCCATGGGAAAAGAATAGGCGATCTCCTCCCGTGCGATTAACTGCCTCTGACAACCCATCGAAAGGACAGCTATGGGTCAGTTCCGACTCTATAGTACAAACAACAACAACAAGCCTATTTAAGATAAATAATAGTTGTGTGTGCCACTGAGTCAGAATCAAGCCATAGCTGACCCTCCAATGGGTATTCAGAGGCAGTAAATCACACAGGAAGAGACTGCCCATCCTTCTCTGCAGAGCAGCGCGGAGCAGCTGGTGGGTTTGAACCATGTGCCTTTGAGATTGTAGTGCAGCTTTTTCCCACTAGGCCACCAGAGCTCCCTACTATAACTGTTTTCATTTTATAACTCTATGCAGATACATGCTATGCCTATTAAAGTATAAAGAATAGAGATATATTAAAAACAACAATCATAATCCCACTACCAGAATAGTAATTCAGAAGCTATGCAACTAAGTTCTCTCTCACCTTTACAAATAACGATATTCTTAACAGATGAGAAGGTGACTTTAAATTCACTTTTTGAAAAAAGTGTTTGTGAGTGAAGTCAGTCATAAAGGGACAAATAATGCATGGGGTCAGTATTATAAACAATCAAGAAAAGGCTGAATACTGTCGGATACTGAGGATGGGAGCAGGAAGAAGGGACAGGCACTAACTAGAATGTAGACACGAATTAACCGGGGTGAATATAAAGGCAATATATAATAAGGGGAAGGTCTGTGCAACATGACCAAGGCAAGCACTGGGGGTCCAAGAGTAAAAGGCAACAATGACAAAGACTATTGTATACACAGAACGGCATTAAAAGTAATAATAAGTAATAACTGATAAGAGGATACATAGCTAAACATGCAGGCTGAACAGAGAATGGTAGTACACCACAAATATACAGAGGCTTGACAGAGGATATTTTTATACATGTATCTGTATGTGTTGCAAACACACCCATGTATATAGAACAGTGTTATGAAAACATCTTAGTCATAACCAAACACCTTGAGGGAATGAGTCACTGGGCCTGAGGGTTTGGGATTATAATCTTGGGGTATAGCTAACAAAGACAACATTCTAAATCCTAAGTATGTGACTGGAGTCTTAAACTTGTGAGCATCTTCTATAATTCAACTAGTGGTCTTTCCCTGTCTGGAGCAAAGAAGAAAACACAAAAGCCAAACCTACAGCTGCTGAGTTGGTTCCAACTCAAAGCAACCCTCCATCCGATTTCAGAGGTTAGAAATCTTTACGGGAGGAGACAGTCCATCTATCTCCCTCAGTACACCCAACGAATTGGAACTGCCTAACTTCTGGTTAGCAGCACAACATATTATGCACTAGCCACCAGAGTCCCTTAAAAGTAGAGGAAATCAAAGACTCAAAGAAACAGTAAGTTCAAAAAACTGATCAACCACAAAAACCATAGCCTCTACTAGCCTGAAACCAGAAGAACTTGATGGTTCATTACTGATTCATTACTGCTTCATTACTGATTACTCTGATTAGAACCACAACGGGAAGATTACAGTGAGAGAAAAATGTAGAGTAAGAGCCAAAATCATAAATTAATTGTCTGATAGAGACTGAGGGAACCCTCAAGTCTATGGCTTTTAGTCACTAATGACCAAGAATGGGTAAGGGACTGAGCCTGAGCCCAGGCCCAGGAACTGTTGGCCTTCTTGCCAAACAACAGACAGGTCTATAAAGGAAAAAAATGACATTTATAAAGAACATAATGTTTGAGAAAATCATCCATGTGAGCTTCAAAGGGCAGCATTTTCCCCAAAGCAAAGTTCAGGAGGCAGAAAAGAAGGACAAAGGGAAAATAAGAATACAAAGAATATATGAGAAGAGTGCTGTTACACTGAGGAAACTGTAGCTAATATCATGAACCAAAATGACTATCAATTGCTCAATGGAGAACCAATGTGCTCTGTAAACATTAATGCAATCACCTTAAAATGCTCACACATAAACAGAGGAATAAACATTTCCAAAGCTTATCTTCAAACATCCATCTCTGGATGAAGAAAACTCAGGTCTACAAAAATTCACTTTAAAGAAGAAAGCATTGCCGGATAAAGATTTCTAATATACATAATGACTTTTTTTTTTTCAAAGTTTCCACCTAAGTATTTTCATGCATCACTTGATCTAAATGGCAACACAGAAGGAAAATTCAGGTAAGCAAATATTGTTCCACTATGCTCAGTAAGACAGGAATTGTGATTCTTTTCCAACTCTGTGTATCTGATTCATAAAGGTTATATATTTCATCACTCATCGTGCAAGCCTCTGTCCTGCTTCCCTACTGCCTAAAAATATTTATACTCTATGATGATTGTGGCACATTACAAAGCCACAAAGAATCTTATGATAGAAGCACTCTGCACATTATAAGATGTGAAAACAGCCAAAATATGTTTGAAGACTGGGCACTGAGACTGCTCCCAGTTCTGCACCTTGGTCTTTAAAACTAAGTAACAGCCTAGGTCTTCTCTACTCTAGACACATTTTCAGGAGAATGAATTAACTCCCATAGAGAATAAATGATGATAGGAAAAAACCCAATCCTTAGGGAACCCATTGTCTGTTGTACAATTTATGAGTTCCCGTGGCCACCAGAAACAGGAAAGCAGAAAGGAACTGCGCTTGTGAGTTTGTGAAGATAAAAGTTTTAGGCACCATTCGGAAGGATGGAAAAGGATTTTCCGTGGAATGTGTGGCCATGGATATTGAGCAGTGAAACCATGCTAATTCCTAAAGCAAATAACTAAAATGAACAAAGCTCTGGGAATATTCTGCAGCAAGGCTTGCTCTCGTTCTCCTGCGTCACAGAACTTGTTAAAGCAAAAGAGATCTAATTGTATAATGATTTAAGAATGACAGTCTCCTGAAGGAAAATGCAGGGCCCTTCCATGTCCAGCAGGTTCAAAAGAAGTGAGCCCCTCTTCTCTAATAGATTATACAGAAAATGCACGAGCCCAGTGAGCTTGGGACAAACCTGGCAGCAGAACAAGAATAGAGTACATAGAGCCCTCAATGGCGAGACCATGAGAAAGGAATTCCGTGGAGACGGTGTGGGTTATGCATGAATAACACCCGGTGAATTAAATTCAAGGGATCAACCGGAAAAGATGGGCAAGAGAACCTGAGACTATCAAACAGACTGGGCCAGCAAAGCTCTCAGACACGCTAATGGGCACTTTGGCATTTATGCTATAGACAGAAAATCCACACACATTCACCGACTACCTGGATAACCTGTCAAGGTTACAAAAATGAGATCCATATTCATTACATTAGAAAAATGCTTCCCACCAATTTCAGGCACAAGGAAGCATGGCATTTTATCACTTGATTTTAACTGGAGATTTTAAGTAGTAACTGCACTACTTAAGCACAGATGCTGTGCATATCATCAAAACCTCACAAATCATCTGTTGGCGTTTATGGCATCTTCTACATTCCTTCTCCCCACTTCCCAAACCCACTTCACACTTTTCTAATAGTCTTCCTGGGAGAAGGAGTGTTCAGTCCTGCCTGTGACGCTCTACTGAATAAGTATTACACTGAAACGCCATCAATAAATATGATGTCAATTCGGCTGTGGTGTTAGAGAAGAGTACTGAATATTCCATGGACTGCCAAAAGAATGAACAAATGTGTCTTGGAAAAGGTGCAGTCAGAGTACTCCTTGGAGCAAGAATGGAGAAGTTTTGTCTCCCATACCTTGGGCATGTTGCTAGGAAGGGCGATTCCTTGGTAAGGGATATCATGCTTGGAAAGGTGGAGGGTCAGCAAAAGGGAGGAAGCTCTTCCATGGGAAGAGTTGACATGGGGACTGCAGCAGTGGGCTCAAGTGTATCAAATATGATGAGTGTGGCACAGGATAGGGCAGGGTTCAGGCCTGTACTTGATGGGTACCTAACAACAACAACATTCGTCACAGCTAATTTCAACTTCAAATTTAACTCCTTTAATGTAGTAACTCACAGGGCCTGGGCAGCTTATTCTGAAAGTGGTCTACCTTTCCCTCAGGAGTGCATATTGAGTGCCATTGAGTGTCAGGGCCTCAGATGCTCAGGTCTCTCCAACACTCATCACTGTCCAACTGTAGCGCTTCCCAAGGCACCAGCAGTTTCTGAACTCTCGAGAGAATCATCCAAAGGGCAGTAGTAACTCAGTCAGGATGTTAAAATCAGCTGCTTTCTAAAGAGATGCTAGAATATAAACGTCATTTATATTCTGGAGGAGGAGAGTGGCTTTAACCTCTCTGAAATAATTCTTCCCCCTCCCTTTACTTCTAGGGCTTTTATTTAAAAGTTAACATCCAGTGATGAATGTCTAAGGCTGCTGAAGTATTTGTTTCCAACAACTGTTGATAGCTCACAGGGAGTAGTTTCTAGATTTAGCGCCTCTTGAGAAGCACCCTGCCCATTTATTAAAGCTCCAGTCAAAAAACTCTGTTCCCAAGAATCTGCACGTTTCTTGCTTGCTAAGGTGTGTTCACAGTAACGTGCCCAGGAAATTAAAAAAAAAAAAAACAAATGTGCAGAACTTGGTAGTATCACATACATGCAAAACTCAAAGAGAATTACCTGATGGTGGGTGTGTATCTATGGACGTGGGGTGTTACTATCCCAAAGGCAGTTGCCTAGTATTTTGGATCACTCAGCATCCAAGGACAACAGTTTGAAAAGTCCTTTCCCTACTAGCTCCAAGGGTGACATTGTGTGAACCTAAATGCCCTGCAGCTAGGGCGTCTCTTTGCAGCGCCCTAAGAACTCTGCTCTCAGCCCCAAGGCCAGACGGCGGCCCCGGCAAAGTCTGGAGTGGCCCGGGGACTCCGCTCCCCAAGCACCGAGCGCGCAGTCGGCCTTTGTCCCGCGCCTGCTGGTCCCCTCGCTCCCGGCGTCCCCGCCCGCGGGCGCACCCCATCCGCGCTCGCACTCACCGGAGCCGAGCAGCCGCCCGGCCGCGGCTCGCCGCGCTGCTCAGACAGGTGTGGGCGCAGGGAGGGCGCGCGCGGGTCCCATGCCGGCCCGAGGCTCCGCTGAGTGCGAGCGAGCTGAAGGCGGGCGCGCGAGTAGCGCCGGCTGCGGGCGGATCCGCCCCTCCCCGCGCCCTTCGAGGCCCGCCCGCCCCGCCCCCGGGCCTCGGGAAAGGCGCACGCCCGCCCCGCTGCTCCCAGCCCGCGCCCCTCCCTCCGCCGCCGCCATCCGGCCGGAGCCGCCGGGGTAGCGGAGGAACCGGCATCCTGCAGCTCCAGGCAGGTAGGCCCCGCAGCCTCGCCAATGTGGGCTCCTGCGCGCTCACCGGCAGCCGCCTAGGTCAGGATCCACGCCCTCTTACCTTCCTGCACGGCGCTTCCCCGGACTTGGGCACTGCCGCTTCTAGAGCGAAGGGCTTCTGCTGTCTGCCCCACAGTTTGTGGGCTAAGCCAGTTAGAGGAGGCCGCAGTCTAGAACCAGGAAGACCGTTCACACCTGGTCAGGAGAGCGCTCTGGGGCATAGTTGAAGAGTTGGAACAGAACCCGTGTCCCTCCAGCCCACATATGTTTTGAGCGATTTTAGACAATGACTGAGTCCCTTCCTATTTTACCAAGATTCTCAGGTGGCATCGCCAATTGTGGCTGTGCGTTGCCAAAGCAAAGGTATGCAGTTAGAATCCAGCAACAAAGGCTGTTACACTGCCAGTGCAAAGGTATGCGGTTCGAATCCACTACCTGCTCCAGGAGAGAAAGATGGGCAATTTCCTCCGATGGGATTGCCTCTGAAATCAGGCGGGCGGGTCAGCTGTGGGTTGGTTCTAACTCGATGGTACACAACAAATAATAGACATCACTTTGCTTTATTGGCACAGTGTGGAAAAATGGCAGGCTGGCTGGCGGGGGGCCCAGGCTTCAACTTGGTACCCAATGCCAGCCAATGCTGTCCACTGCCTGCTTCCCTGAGACCTATATGGGCTCACATCTTCCCTCAACCAGGTGGGTAATTGCACTATTTAAGAACCAAAGGGTCAAAGTTTTCCTACCTCATCTTGATATATTCAGGTTTAATCTAGGAACTAGATTCTCCATCAGTGCACTTCATACTCAGCTCACCACTCTTCTGTCAGCAGAGGCTTCTGTGCAACAGTCTGATCTGCAAAAGATCTTGAAGGTGTCATAGGAGTAGATAGGGTTTGGTTCTACTGTGCAGGGGATGGTGTTTGAGTGGAAGTGGGAGGGAGGGCAGGACTCTGGAGGAGCTTAACCGCAGGTTTTTCACAGGACCCTTCTGTGAAGCAGATTCACGTATAGGTGGTTGCCGTAAGAAAGGTGCAGACATTACCACAACTTTTCAGATAAGGAGCTTGAGGTTTCAAGAGTCTTACAGATTTGCCCAATGTCAACACAGCTGTTGAGTGGTGGGGCAAGATGTCCTCCAGCTGCCACGTATTTCCTATTTAGCCTTCCCGCTAACCTGCTAGCCAGGTGAACCTACCAGGAGGCAGCTCAGAACAGAGGTCTAATGATCTGCTTCCAAAAGGTTTTCTTTGAAAGCCCTATGGAGCAGTTTTACCCTGGTGTAACTGCAGTCAGAATTGCCATGACAGCAACTAACAACAACATCTGTTTAAACTCAAAACCACTAACAAGGTACTCTGGTGGGATAGTGTGTTATGTGCTGTGCTACTAAGTGGAAGATCAGTGATTCATATCCACAAGTGGCTCCAAGAGAGAAAAATAAGGCTGTCAGCTTTGGTGAAGATTTACACCCTCAGATACCTGATAGTCGGTTGGAATCAATTCAATGGTGGTGAGTTTTTCTGTTTTAGGGCCATTATCAGGACTGAGGTAGTTGACTGAGTTGTCAACTTCATTTTCTGTATGGCTTTACCACTGTCATGGTGCATGAAGTGCTCTCCCTTGACTCATTCTCTCACTTCTTTCTTCCTTTCAACCACCATACCCCCTTGGCTCACACCCTGTGCCATTATAATGTTATTGGCTTTCTCTTAATTCTAGCATATCATTTAGGAATTCATTTTAAGCTTTAATAGGATAATAAGTGAAATTATACTGAGGTACCAACGAGTAGCACACATAAGGGTTGAAATCACACAGCAGGACTTGGTATAACTTGATGGCAACAAGTTTTGGTTTATTTATGGAATACATACCAAGTTTTGAGGGGGGATATTTGTTTGTGCTCTTCAATACAGGGAGCTCTGGTGGCTTAGTGGTAACTAAATGTGCTACCAGTCGAAAGGTGGTGGTGGTGGTGTTAAGTGCCGTCAAGTCGCAGCCAACTCATAGCGACCCTATGAAGGAGAGTCCTTTCATCCTCTCTCCAGGTTCATTCATAGGGTTTCCGGAGGCAAGCTATTACAGAAGTGGATACCACTCCTCCTTCCAAGCTTGTTTTAATCAGGGAGCTCCACCCCACTCTCTGTCCGCATTGGGTAACCAACCATTAACGCATTTGACACATCAGTATCACAGTGTTCAGCCTTACAGCAACCACAAGTGACCGCAGTATGGCAACTTGTACACCAGGGCTATACGACCTAGAGGAATGTCTTTGGCTTGGTAGGCAGTTCAAATCCACTAGCTGCTGCTCCTCAGGAGAAAGATAGGCAGTTAGCCTCCAATGTGATTTACTCAACAATATACAATAAGAACAACAATCTTCAATTCAAAGGAGAAAATATAGAATATTCTCAAAATAGAGGGAATGTTCAAAATCACTGGCAATCAACGAGATGCAAATAAAAACAACAGTGAGACCACAGCAGACAATAAATGTTGGAAAGAGTGGAACTCTCATGCACTGTTGAAGGGAATGTAAATGGTACAACCACTACAGAAGGCAATCTTGCATTTCTTAAAAAAATGTGAACATAGAAATCCCATTTGACCCAGCTATTGCACTGCTAGGAATATACCTTCAGGAAATCAGAACTGAGTTGCTAATGGAGATATCTACACCTATGTTCAAAGCAGCAGCATTCACCATAGCAAGAACATGGAAACAACTCAAATGCCCATCAACAAACTAATAGAGAAACAGTGATTTAGTAATACAATGGAATATTATGTAGCATTACAGAATAACAAAGTACTAATAAAATATAGCAAAACATGAGAGAGTCTAGAGAACATTATACTGACTGAACTCAATCACAAAGGACAAATACTGCGTAAGACCATTCACTACTGTGAAAATAGAATAACTTATCAAATTATACATAAATGTTCAAAAGAGGAAGGGGAGAAAGGAAGCAGAACACTGTGGAGGGGAATCACTAGAATAGCAGATGTTAGTGGGCAGATTTGGGGCAAAGGAGTATAACAGATGCAACGGGGACTTGAAGAGACCAGGAGATAAAATACATAGATCAAAAGGAATTGTTTAAAACACAATGTACGTTAATAAAAATCTCCATTTTACAAAGATCTGCATTTTACAAATTTAGATTTTGCAGAGTGTGGTTAAATAGAGTACCCAGAGCCATCCTCCGAAGGACCAGAGCTGGGCCTTCTGCCTCGTCTGTCCTAGTCCTCCGCTGGAATCCGCTGTAAAATACTGCTTCCCAGACTTGCCTTTTTGTGTGCTTACAATGAGGACGTTGAATCCAGCTTCAAAAAAAAAATCCTTTGGACTTTGTTTTGCTTTTGTTCCAGTCGTGTGATATTTTAGTAGCAACCTGTTACAGGGCCTCAGGATGGGAGACAGATGAAATCAAAAGATAATTGGAAGTTCCAGGGTCACCAGGAGGTGAGGGATCCAACTCAAAACTGCTAAACTCCTTTTGAGTGCGTATTTTCCATGAGACCGAGCCTTAAGCAGCTTCAACCACTTAAGTCAGTATGAAAGCCATCAATGAGGATTATTCCTAAAGAGATACATATGCGTGAGTAAAAAAATCCTTTCCATAAGATTTCTTTGTTCGTGGCACTAATAACAGAGTTATGTGGATCTAATAATTACTCAGAAGTGGGGGTGTTTTTCAGCTCCACATAGTAAATTAAAAGAGACTTGGGCTGGGAGACAACCTAGGGCGTGAGGCTTTTTGTTTGTGTGGTCCAGCTGAGTATGACTCACAGCAAGCCGATGAACAGCGGACCTGGGCCCTGTCCTATCCTGAACCATCTCTTACATGCTCAAGCCCATGATTACAGTCACTGTCAATCATCTTCTTCTCTTTCTCTGAAGCATGACGTCCTTTTCCAGGAACTAGCCCCTCCTGACAACATACCCAAAGTATGTGACACAAAATTTCAACGTCCTTGCCTCTAAGGAGCACTCTGGTTGCACCTCCTCCCAGACAGACCTTGTTTGTTCTTTTGGCAGTCCATGGGATTGTCAGCACTCTTCTCCAACACCACAGCTCAAAGGCATTGATTCTCCTGTCAATCTTAATCACTGTCCAACTTTAAGAAGCATAGGAAGTAACTTACGAGACCAGTAAGTAATTGAAAAGATTAGATGCCCCTTGAAATTTAAATTAACATTGTTCCTCTTCAGCACTTTGGAGAGGTCCTTGACAACCAAGTTGTCCCAATGCAACCCATCTTTTGATTTCTTCTTTGATTTCTTGACCATGGCTGTTGAGTGTAAATGCAAGTAAAATGAAATTGGTGACATTAAACCTTTCTCCATCTATGACCATCTCTGGGGATGGTTTTTGTTTTCTTGATGTTGGGATATAATACATACTGAAGGTTGGAGTCTTGGATCTTCTGCAGCAAGTATTTCAAGTCCACTTCCCTTTCAGCAAGCAAAGTCGCACTATCTGCATAATGCAGGTTGTTGCGCGGGGGATACTAACCCTATCTTTGCTCCCCACCACTAAATGAAACACCTAAAACCTACTGTGATTGAGTTACTTTCAAGTCAAAGTGGCCCTTAAGGATTTTCAAAGGTTGTGATCTTTATGGAAGCAAATTGCTACATCTTTACAAAGCAACTGGTCGAGTCAAATCGCCCAGCTTTTAGTTTGAAGCTAAGCACTTAAACCATTGTGCCACCAGGGCTCCTGCCGTCTTTACCCAGGATGGTCTAAAT